GTTTTTTTGGACAGAGATTTTACACTGTTGATGTATTATGTAATTATTGTTTATTGATCCCACTGATGGTAAAGCGAAGCTGGTACAGTCCACAATCTAATTCAATTTCACTCTGTGCAGGCTTTGAGACAGAACTGCAAAAACATGTAAATTAAAGCTCTGTTTTTAATCACTTTTTCCACTTTGGCACACATGAAGCCCCCCTGAGCTTTGTGCCCCCCCGGCTGGTGTTTACTGAACACACAGTCCCTGCGCAGATGTGCAGCTGGAGAGGCCAGCAGACCTCGAACTGTCACACAACAGGACACACAGTGTCTGACTGCTCTGAGAGAGAGGACACGCAGAGACATGCTGAGACACACAGAGACACACAGAGACACACAGAGACACGCTGAGGAACCTGCACTGAACTCCGTCTACACCAGCAGAGCGAAACACACGTGAACAGCCCGTGTGTTTTTTACTCATGTGTTCGTCAGAGTACCAAAAAACACTGGACTGTTTACGGCTTTATAGTGTTACTAGACTGATCTAGAGCAGCAGCACATCATGTTAATAGCTTGTTCTAGAGCAGTAACAGCGGCTTATATTGTCAGTAGCTTGTTCTAGAGCAGTAAAGGTGGCTTTTTGTGTTTTCAGCTTGTTCTAGAGCAGTAAAAGTGGCTCATTGTATTTTTAGTTTGTTCTAGAGTAGTAGAAACGGCTTATAGCGTTATTAGCTTGTTCTAGAGCAGCAGAAGTGGCTTATTATGTTTTTCTGCTATAGATCAGTAAAAGCAGCTTATAGGGTTATTAGCCTGTTCTAGAGCAGTAAAAGCGGCTTATCGTGTTATTAGTCTGTTCTAGAGCAGTAAAAGCAGCTTATCATGTTGTTAGTCAGTTCTAGAGCAGTAAAAGCAGCTTATCATGTTGTTAGTCAGTTCTAGAGCAGTAAAAGCAGCTTATCATGTTGTTAGTCAGTTCTAGAGCAGTAAAAGCGGCTTGTCATGTTGTTAGTCAGTTCTAGAGCAGTAAAAGCAGCTTATGTTGTTAGTCAGTTCTAGAGCAGTAAAAGTGGCTTATCGTGTTATTAGTCAGTTCTAGAGTAGTAAAAGCGGCTTGTCATGTTGTTAGTCAGTTCTAGAGCAGTAAAAGCAGCTTATGTTGTTAGTCAGTTCTAGAGCAGTAAAAGTGGCTTATCGTGTTATTAGTCAGTTCTAGAGTAGTAAAAGCGGCTTATCATGTTGTTAGTCAGTTCTAGAGCAGTAAAAGCAGCTTATTGTGCGATTAGTCAGTTCTAGAGCAGTAAAAGCAGCTGTTATTAGCCTGTTCTAGAGCAGTAAAAGATGTCTGTTCTAGAGGAGCAGAAACGGCTTATCATGTTGTTAGTCAGTTCTAGAGCATTACAAGTGGCTTATAGTGTTATTAGCCTGTTCTAGAGCAGCAGAAGTGGCTTGTCGTGCTATCAGCTTGTTCTAGAGCAGTGAAACCAGTTCCCTGTGTTATTAGCCTTCTTTTGAAATCCCCACCTTCAAAAAATAGAATTCTCTTCTTGACAAAAATAAATAAATAATGTCCAAAACTGTAAATAAGAAACTTCATCAGAATCTGGATGCATGAGAGTTTATTTATCTCAAATTTATCATAAAAGGTACAAAAATATCACAGTTCATGTCCAGCAAAATACTCCACACCTCACACAGGCACAGCTAAAATGTGTTAAACAGAGAAACACACTCAGCACTACCAGCAGACGGGTGAGGTCTGAGCGTTCGTCCCGCCTGGTTAAACACAGCTAAACGTCTTACTAGCGAAGCTTCAAGGCTGCATGATCGGTTTAATTCAGTTGGTCTGTATGTTTATGGTTCTGTTAATAAAACACATCACTGTATTTGCTGCGTTGTTCTCTGAGCGCTGGAGCTGCAAGAACTTCAGCAGATTATTTACAAACAACTGAGCCACAACAACGCACTGTTAGCGACATTAGCATGCTAATTTAGACTTATCAGTACTCGAGATTTTACAGCAATACATAAAATGTAAAAATGATTCTGTATGTAGTGCTATTACATAATTCTTTACAGGTCTGACCACATTAGGCTGGTTTTAGACACATGCTAAGTTCTGTCCAGACTTTCCGAACAGCATTAATATAAGATTTAGCTAGTTTACCAAAGAATAGCCGTTTACATCTTTGCATTATTTATCATAAATGATATCTGGTCTTCCTCTCTACACTGTAAAACAACCTTATGTTATAATTCACCCCTTTAAAATCCCAGGCGTATCACATCCTGAGGCTTATTATTCAGTAACTATGTTGAAAACAATAAACTGGCTGAGTAGTTCTAAATAACAGGAGTGAGAAATAAAAGCCTGGACTCACTGCTGGGGTTTAAGGAGTTAGGACTAAGTAATCTGGCTGCATAAAAAATCTGAGTAAATTAAACTTCTAATAGGAAAAAGAACAATAATCTATATTCTGTATTTCAGCAGCAGGTTATTTGCTTTTAAATCAGCACGTTTTTCCAACGTAGCAAAAAAACAGCCAAATATGTGATGCATTAATGTGAGGTGTTTAAAGCTGTGGAGGCCTTTTCTCTGGAGCAGATGTCCGCACAAGGTGGCTCTGAATAAAAACTAAACCATTTATCATCGGCTTCTTACTAGAGTTTCAAAGACTTTTAAGAGTTTGCTTAATAATGAAGTTTACAGTTAAGTTATAGGTGCATATCGTCAAAGCAGAGCTGGCTAAGGTGTGGCCTGCAAGTGAGGATGTTTAATTTGGCTCAACAGAAAGTTACCCTAATCCAGGGGTCGGCAGCATGCGGCTCTGTTACTGCCCTGTGTCTCCACAGCAGAATCAGATCAGTAGGTAAAAATAAAATAATCCTCCTTTACAGTAAAATAAAGCTCTGCTGATCGTTCAACACAGTTTAACAATAAATGGTCTTAAACTCTGGAGTTAATGTAGAACTGCTGATTCACCCTTTAACCCTGAAGATCAGCACAGACTGCTGGTCACCATAGCAACACAGACAACAGTCTCGCCCAGCTAGTAGCTAACGAAACGGAAAGAGAGAGATTTAAGATGAACAACGATAATTTGGAGATGATCTGACTCATCTGCATTTATAATCACTTCAGCTGGTTTCCTGATATGTTTAATCTGCAACGAGAAACTGACAAACAGCCTCTTGTTCGAATTTTCCCGGTCCACCTTAAATGGTGTAGCAGTTACATTCTGGCACCACAGGCACCATTTAAGGTGGAACGGGAGAATTAGAACAAGAAGCTGGTGAATGAGAAGCGACTTCAGCCTTGTGAAAAGTCGAATGTTGAGAGACATTTTACAAGAAATTGTTCTACTTTTGGGGAAAAGTTTCCTGCTGGAGATGCGAGAAAAGCTGCTATAGCTGAACTAAAGCTTAAAGCAGAGCAAAGTGAGTCTGCATTTTCGTTTATATTATATTTTTAGTCTATACTAGTACATCAGCACATACTGAGACATATTTACAGCCAAGATGGTAAAGCGGACACATGTTGTGGCTCCCAAGCTGGTTTGATTTTTGTTGAAAGGACAAAATGGCTCTTAACATTTGCGTTGCGACCCCTGGGTTAACCCCACCCACATCACTCAATGATAACTCCTCAAACTCTTCTTTTCCTTCTAAAAAGTTAACAGGTTTAACAAGCAAATAATCACCTTTGCAAAAACGTAATTTTAAAACAACCTCTAAAAAGTGTTCTGTGGTGAGGAGCCGATGGTGATTGGTTTAGTCTTTATTCGGAACTCTCCTGTGAGGACTCTGCTACCAAGAAACAAATAAAACCCTTTAAAAACCTTCAAAACTCACAGTAATGCATCACGTTTTTGGCTTGTTTCTCAATTAACTCAGTTTGTGTATCGCTGTGGTTGGACGAAAACCTTGTAACTCCATTTTTGACGTTTTGTACTTTTTAACAGGATTTGAAAATGCCAGCTGCCAAAACAGACCACCAGAAATGCTCCAAAAGTGCTTGGAAAAAAAAATCTAGTTCCATTAACTTCCATTCAAAACTAAGAATGTTTTTTTCTTCTCCTGTAAAGTTAACATTTTGGAGATACGAGGTTTTCTTCCAACAGCAGCGATATGGTTTTGTCTTTTTGTCCCTGAGCCCACCACAAACACTGCCACCACCGATTTTGTGATCCTTCTGCTCATCACAGCTCGCTTCCACACTTCCACACTTCCACGTTACTTCATGGTATGATGGGAAGATACTGTCGTGTACGAAAGCTTAAACGCTCCTGGATAAATTACATGTTATTGTTGATTTTCGAAGTGTAAATAAGTCAAAACAGTTTAGCACATTTTAATACACATTATACAACAGTGAGTTTCGGCCACGCGAGCTGATTGGTTGAGAGGGGTTCTAACTGTGCTGTTATTTCACCATAACATCACAGGTTTATTCACAAACACTGTATCACTCCGCTGAGACGCCGTTGCTAAGCAGCGACTTTGACAGCTGTAGGAGACGCTCAAGACATTTGAACGTTTTTACTTCTTACTTTGCCACAAACAGAAAATGGACACTTTTAAGATCACATTTGACCGACAGCCGATTTGGTCAGACTCTGAAGATGAGACGACACTAAATTCCCAAACTGTCATCACCACTGAGCAGCTTTTCAGTCGGCAGCTGTGACAGAAGAACAGCTGAACAACCTGGAATCAGCCAGAAATGAACCCAATACCATTCGCCAAACGTGTAGTCTGATCTTCAGAGTCTGACCAAATCAGACTGAGCCATAAAACTGACACAATAAAAAAACAAAAAAGCTCAGTGGTGATGACAGTTTGGGAATTTAGTGTAAGGAGCTGGAGAACGAACTGCCGGCTGTGCAGCGAGTGGGCGGAGCTGCTTGTTAAGGAACCATAATTTGGTGAAGGAACTGCAAACATTAAAACATATTAAACGCCGCGTTCACGGCCCAGTTTATTAATTTATTACTTTATTTATTTAACTGCTGTATAAAAGCAATAGAACACTCGAGGAGTGTGTTATCGCCAATAACATCACGGCTGTGATTTGGTCTGCACATTTTAATACATGATTACTGCTTATTTGCTGTTTAACATGCTGGAAAAAACATTAAATATAAAATATGCCAAATGTTTTGCACACTATTCCATACGTTTTCCCCCCCAAAGTGTTAGACACATAAATAAACACTTCATTGAGTATTAAAATGTGTTAAAGTGCGTTAACTTTTTTACACTTGAGGGGTGTTCAAACTTTTGCACACGACTGTATGTAGCATTACTAGGATTTAGACTCTGTAACAACCTCGATATTCAGAGGATGCAGCGACGATCAAAGAAAAACACACAGAATAAAATGTTCAAACGTTGGAGCGTTTGTGTTTATGACAGGGTGATTTTTAAAAATGCTGTTCATTTTTCCCAGAGATGATAAACGGCTTAGACACCGAGTTCCCTTTGCGAGTGTGACGCCGGCTCCAGAACGTCACGTAACCTCAGACGTCTAAGCTTTGATCCTGCACATGCTTGTTCTTTATAAAACAACCATTAACGATCGATCCTGCAAACCTCGTTTTAGTGTTTTGCCTGCTAGCAGACCTGATTCAGCTCAGTGTCTCATTTCTGAGCCCTTCATGATCCGAGTCAGGTGAAAAGACACAGGGGCAGGGTATCGGGGCCCTGAGGCTGAAACACAAAACCGAGAGATAGCTCAAAACCAGCCAGGCAGAACAGGAAAACAAAGAATCTCATTTTCAAAGGACATTTTCCTCCAGACCTACTTCATTCCAACAAGCACAACGAAGCCACGACAACAATAAACAAATGAACAAAAAAAAACAAGAATGGCAAGAAAAGGTACCATAAACAACAAAAACAATGTAAACGAGCAATGTAGTCCTACAGTAACGGATTCTGCATCAGAAATGGAAGTGTAACAGAAGCGTTTGTCTTTAATAAAGTGCAGTGGCGACGGCCGAGAGAGCAGATGAAGGGAGCAGCGTTCTCCTGAGGAGAGCTGGACGGACGGGCAGGCCGTGGAGAATAAAAGTGCTTGTTGTGATTATTGCTGGAACGTGCTGGGTTACGGAGCAGGGCGAAAGAGCACAGCGGCCACAATAGGGCGCTTTGTTGGCTCTGCGCGCCCCCGGCCGTGCGGCGCTGACCCTGATAAGACGGCTGGATGGCATTACAGGAAGCTGGACGCTCCTCAGAAGAATTGCATTCGCTTCACCTGCCCAGAGGGTCCCTTTTCACTTCCTGCTGGACTGGCTGCCTACAGAAAAGGACACAGAGCTGGAGTTAGAAGGGCTTCCCCAGATCCTCCATCAGAGCCTTAATGCAGCTGAATTACTTTAATTACTCAATTAACCCTGATTAAAACAATGAAATAATGATTGGTCCATATCTACTGTTTGGGAGAAAGAAGAAAAAGAAAAGATGAATGAATTAATGAAATTAATATTTATATTGAAATTAAGAGCCCATTCATTTAAATGTTTACTTTTTAATGACCTCCAAGGCTAAATATTTATGAAATGTAAGACAATAAGATTTTTTAAAGGACTGCAAGAAGAAAAGCAGAGTTTCAGCAACATGTTTTCATGTTTCACAAAGTTTTATAAACTTTTCCCACTGTCACTGAGCAGAGCAGCGACATGACAAAGAACCTGATTGACCCTCTTGTGTGTATCCGAGGTGCTGATTGGCTCGCAGATTGAACCTTAGAGAACTCAGAGTTTGACTTTGGAGACAGAACATTTTTGCACACAACTTACAAAAAATGAAAACAAAACAAAACAAAACAACAGAGTCTAAAAATGAGTCTGTTTTTGTGTCGGTTGAGTAACAGAAGCTGCCTCTTCAGCTAACTGACTGACTGGAGCACTGGATGCTTATTTCTCCTCAGTACTAACTCCTTATTTGTCACAGAAATATATTTTCAGTGTTTTTAGATCGAGGTAACATCAGCTAGAACAGTTAGCCTATTTAGCACCAGAGCTAGTTGTGCTATCTGCCTTCTCAGTCACATCCTTGAAAACATGCTCATTTCAAGGCATTTGTGTGTTGTAGTAGTAAAGTCTAACACACTATGTTCACAAATATGAGCAAAACTTTCACAGTTTAAAATTCTGTCAGAAGATAAAATTGGCATTTCACTGAATTGTTGGTCTGTATATTTTCTCTGTAATCATGGGATGAAAAGTAATGAATACCTGAACAGTGATTTCAGTATTTGGATACTGGCACCTGTAGCGGTTTAGCGAGTAGCTGAGCACTCAAACACATCTCTAAACCAAATATACATTTTATATTTCAATGAATATTCAAATTTCAATGTTTTTTCCGCAGCCCTAGTGTAATTTACGTAATCAGTGACAAAATCAGTCACGTTAATACGATGTGTTACACAAATAATCAAAAAATAATAAATATCAAATGCGAAATATTTGATTATTGTGCTATTAAGAAAGATTAGTAGCTAGTCAGAGGTGGGAACAAGTCACTAAGTTGCAAGTAACAAGTAAGTCTCAAGTCCTGAGTCAAGATAGTCAAGTCTCGATTCAAGTCCCGAGTCAAGATAGTCAAGTCTCGATTCAAGTCCCGAGTCAGGGCGAGTCTCAAGTCGAGTCCCAAGTCAATAGTCCTAATCTTCGAGTCCTAAACAAGTCAGTCTTTATCGATTTTCTCAAGTCAAGTCTAAAGTCATCAAATTCGTGACTCGAGTCAGACTCGAGTCCGAATCATATGCATTTTTCACGTTGTTCTGGCTGCATAATACCATTCACCTTGAATCTTTTTCTCATTTTTTATGTAAAGAAATGAGTAAATGAAGTAAAGAGCTGTAAGTAACTGGTGACCAGCAAATAAACAACCTTATTCCAAGAGAATACTTTTATTCTCTGTGTCAGCTGAAATTAATCAGTTGATATGATACTGTTCGATGTGATCACGTGGTGCATCATCTGCGTTTTGATTGGCTGTTTCACAAAGTTTAGACACTTGCATCTAATGAGGCTGAGTTCCAAGTGACCTTGCGGGACACTTTACATTATACAACTCAAGTGAAATTTTAGTTTCATACAGGTTTCCTGTGTATGCGTAAAGCCTAAAAGGTTAAAAAAGGTCAGCTTATGAAAGTGTTTGAGGTCATTCATGTGGATGATGCTTCTGAGAGAATCAGATTCCAGGAAATGATTTAGGGGTTAAAATGCGGCCAGACTTCCTCTAACCTGTTAAATCGATATCATACCTCATCACACTGGGCCATTAAATCCACTCAGCAGCTCTGATACAAAGCATTATATGTGGCGTCTCTATAGTGGCCGAATCAGAGGAAACAAAGGTGAGCAGACAGGAGACTGGAGAATGTAAAAGCGGCACCATATAAGGTGGAACGGGACAATTCGAAAGAGAAGCGACTTCATCTTCGCAACCGTTCAGTGTTTGACAGTTTCTCGTTGCAGATTTAACTTGCCAGGAAACCAACTGCGCTGCTTATATATGCGAATAACGCATCGCTGCTATGTGACCTGCAGTCTGTATGGCGGTTCTCAGTCGTTGCGAAACAGGGCTTTTGCGCTATGCTGCACACGTCCCGTCTCAGGGATATTTTACTGACAAAGCGACTCATCTGCATTCGCAGAAGAGTGGCAGCAGCATCTCATGTGCTCCAAAGGCAGTGAATGAGAGCCTTCTAGTTCACTTGCCACATCACTTGTCAAAATTCAAGTCAAATTTATTTGTATAGCGCTTTTTACAACTGATGTTGTCACAAAGCAGCTTCACAGAAATCCATTTAGGACAAAGTTTCAACATGAAATGTAAATCCTCCGGGTGAGCAAGCCAGGGGCGACAGTGGCCAGGAAAAACTCCCTCAGAGCTGAGGAAGAAACCTTGGGAGGAACCAAGGCTCACATGGGGGGGACCCATCCTCCTCTGGTCAAACTACCTACAAAATTATTATTCTACTAATATTAATAGTAGTAGTAGTAACAGTTAGGAGTCCACTTCAGTGTCGGGTGGGCAGCTAGTCCAAGGCAGGTGGCGGTGACTGGGGCATGGGCAACTGGTCTGAAGAAAAAACGTAGGGAGATGGAGTTAGTTTAGTTCTGTATGGGTGTATGTATAATAATATGTAAAACATTTCCAGAGTGTGGCTAACGACTCCGGCAGATCTGACTATAACAGCTTAACTAAAAGGAGCGAACCAAAAGGGCACACAGACACGGGAGCACCCTGAAACAATTTGGCATCCCTCCGCTCCACCGTCCACAAACCTGAGTGTTCGCGTGCGAGCGGCGGGACGACAGCACCAGTCTCAGTTTACTATAATTCACTGCGTCCATCGATAATTGTTTCATAATCGCATCGCAGCTCTCTGAATCGTAATCGAATCGTGAGGTGCCTAGAGATTCCCACCCCTATATCATATATATCAGGGGGTCTCAAACTTTTCCACCCCAAGGTCCTCCTGTGTATAACTGTAAAGCATAGCACCCCCCAGGAAAACTTCAATTCAATCAGCTTTTTGAATACAATTTTCTTTTTCTTTTCTTAAATGTTTACACTGAAAATCTGAGAATTACGGCCTGAAAAAGATCAGATCGTCATTCTGGATGTCAGCAGATTTGCAAAATTTGCAGTTATGTTTAAAAAAACCATATGGCTGTAGTGATATTAAAACAGGGGGAAAAAAGAAAGCAAGAATAGAAATGTACGAGGTACGAGGTGGAGCTGCAGTCCATCATATTTTCACTGAAAATACTCCACTGACCTCCCCAAAAGAGGAACCGATGGGTTTCTTTAGTTTTGAGGGTTTAGCGCCTCATCTGAAACAGTCACACCACACTAACCGCGCTCGACTCAGCTGGGCTTCTGGATCAGCGCCGTCACAATCAGCAACAATGATCAATTGGTCTTACTTGATCTCTGCTTCTTTGTCATTGGTTTTCCAGTTTAAGCTCAACCACTCGCACAGGTCGCTGATGCTCGGCCAAATATATGCTCCGCTGTGATCCATACGTCAAATCATATGGATCACACATCTCATTACTATTATTTTTATTTTATGGTTTGTCTCTCGTTTTTAACAGCAGCTCGTGCTGAGAGTCGTAAAAAGTCAGACGTTAAAACAGACAGACTGTGCTGACAGGACAGCGCTAGAAGTGCTGCTAGAAGTAGAAAGCGAGCTCTCGGACCGAGACCTGCGGTTTTTGCCAGAACGCAGTTCAGCTGTCTGCTGCAGACTCGAGTACAGGTGGAGTGTTTACACGTATCAAAATGGAGTAAACTAAAGGTGTGAAGTCCACACTAAACAGGAAGGGTGTGAAAGCGCCCTGAGAAACTTCTCCATCTCTGGCTAACTGTCTGCATCGTGCCCGCGGCTGCATGGTCACAAATTAACCATTTTAATTGTACGTGTTAACATTTACATTGGTTATAATTAGATTTTTAGATGTTTAATTATTAAGGTAATTTTTTTCCACTTACGTTTTTATGATTTACAGTGATGTTACCTAGCTAGAGGAGACTTCATGGCCTGCTGGTGGCCCGCGGCCCACAGGTTGAGAAACGCTGATATTAATATCATATACACAGTCAATGAACATATATATCATATATATATCACATCTACTGTCAGTGTATATATCACATATACAGTTAATGAGTGTATATACCATTTATACAGTCAATGAGTGTATATATCATATCTATTGTCAATCAGTGTATATATCATACATGTCATATATACAGGTTCACAGCCCACAGGTTGAGAAACCTGATATACATCATATATACAGTTACTGAGTGTATATACCATATATATAATCAATGAGTGAATATATCATATATATCATATATACAGTCAATGAGTGTGTATTGTATATATCAATTATACAATCAATTAGTGTATATATCATATATGTCTCGTTTCTTGTTACAGTGGAGGTTCTCGAGGGGAACTGGAGCTCCATCAAGCTGCTGCTTTTGTTAGTTTGCTGCTCATTGATTTATCCATAGTTCTCCAGCGTATTCTGTAAGAATATCATACAATGAGCTGCAACTGGGCTTCTATGGCAACTACTATGGAAAAATCGCATTAATCGCATCATTAAAAATGACAGTTTCCAAAATTTCGGTTTAAAGCACATTGAAACCAGAAGTGGTTTAAACACCTGAAGGATCTGAGTACTGATAAGCTCTGACATCACGATAGAGAGATTAAATGACCTTTGGCTTTATTCCCAATATTGCTCTGCGACTGATTTTGGG